AATTAGAGAAAAAATCGAGGGTTGTTTTAGGGAAGGGATCTAAGTGCTTTCACAATGTGCTTTCTGCAAACAAGATATTGTAATTTATGTAACTCTGGCCCTCCAAGTGATATGATCTGCAACTCCCAGAGGGGTGACCATTTGGAACTGAGCCGATTACTGTATTTTTCCGTGTATAAAATGACATCTTTTCCTACAATAATTAGAGAAAAAATCGAGGGTTGTTTTAGGGAAGGGATCTAAGTGCTTTGATCCCTGCTTTCTCCCTACACTTTTTGCAAAAAGTGAAGGGGAAAAGCAGCTTTTTGCAAAGAAAGTGGAGTGGGAAAACACTTTCCTCACAAGAAGATGGAGAGGCAAAGCGATTCCTTCTTTCCTCCCCTACTTTCTTGAGAGGAAAATGCATTCCCCCTCCACTTTATTTGCAAAAAGTGGAGGGGGAAGCAGCTTTTTGCAAAGAAAATGGAGGGGGAAAGCAATTTCTTTGCAAGAAAGTGGAGGGGGGAAGCAGGAATCAAAACAATTTGATCCCTGCCTTCCCCCTCTACTTTATTGCAAAGAAAGAAATTTTGGGTTAGAAAAGTGGGGGTGGGGGTGTCTTATACATGGGGTGTGTTATACATGGAAAATATGGTGTATTTCCCCTATCCCTGGTTTAACTACTGAGTTGTCCTAGCCCAACCTTTAGCTCCAATTACAGTCCTGTGCCAGGATGAGGAGGTTATGGGCTGTAGAGATCAAGAGGTTTTTGCTTGCCATTTGGCACATTTAATATCAGGGAGCTTCTGGGATGGTGATCAGAGAAGATCAGGAGCTGTCAATTTCCTTCCCTCCTCAGATTTGGGAGCTTCCTGAAGTGGCCCCCCCTGCCAGTGGAGCTCTGGGAACCTGCAGATCCCCAGAGCCTTGAAAAGCAGCCTTGGGCCTATGTCAAAATTAATGTTCAGGCTGCAGATGAAAGGCAGAGAAACGCTGTCAGTCTTTGTCTGATTTGCTCGGAAGGTTTTCCCTTGTCGAGCGGACATATTCTAAAACAAACTTCAAAACTCACCCAATTTAGCTCACTGCTTTCAGGATTGATCCCTATAGTCTAACAGACTCCATTCAGCCCCCGAGGAGCTCCATGTTATGCTCTCCATGGACAATCCCTACTTATTTCCTATGGGTGAGTCAGATCCAGAACAGCATTTCAACAGGAGCAAAACTGTATTTTTCCTCTTGGGCAGGAGGAAACAAGGGCAGTCATACTCCAGCCAGATGCATGATGGTGACTGGTTGTCCTCATTATGAAATCCTGCAGCAAAGGATAATATGAGTCCTTCATTTCATTTATATTGGTTTTCTGATACTTTCTGTGTACTCTCTCTCTCTCTCTCTCTCTCACGTGTTGGTTTTCTGATACTTTCTGTGTACTTTCTCTCTCTCTCTCTCTCACACACACACACACTGCAATCCTAAACACCCCTACTATAGAGCAAGCCTTACTGAGCAAAGTTGGCCTTGTTATCGAGCACCCATGCATAGGACTCCCTTGTTCCTGCTCAGAGACCTAAAGCAATTTCCTTCAGGGAAAATGATGTCAACAAAGAAAGAAAGTAGCAACAAAAGATGATTAAAAACTACTCTTGCATGCTTATTTTTTTCAGAATGCTCTTCCAGAGCTAAAGTACCTCTGTCGCAGTGCATTAAAAAGATTGTTCCTGTCTTCTCATTAGCAGCACAACCCAAGCAATCTTCCTGCACCTAGGAGGGGGCACAGCATTCTTCCCTCTACCATTTTGAGTATGAGAGGCACTACAGGATGCAGATGTTTTCTCAGCCAGTCTGTCTTTTACTGAAGACTTCCTTGAGCACACAACCAACTTCAGCCTTTAGCTGAAGAGAAGCTGATTCAGACCCAGGAGGGGATGGAGGTCCCAATAGCTCCTTCTGCCCCAAAGCTGAACCCATTTCTTCTGGTCCTCCAGACAAAGCCTGCTAGCACTGGAGACCTCTGGACTTGCCTCTTAAAGACATTGGACACCCCGGGTGTAGCTGCTCTACCAGGGAAGCTCCAAAGAAAAGTCAAGAGTAATTATGCAGTATCAGTAGTAGGCCACCTCCAGAGGGAGGGGTGGGGTGGGGGTGCTCCAGCACACGGTGGAGACATTCTCACCATTTTTGTTTGTTTGTTTGAAAATGAATGTCAAATAATTTTTTCTTGGATTTTGTTTTTTTTTTTAAAGGGGGCTGCGGGGGGGCTGCCAACACAGCCTTGGGGGCTGAATGAATCCTCTGGGTTACATGATCCCCAGCCATGTTCTCTATAATATATTTCCCAGAGGCAGATGCAGGGCTGGGTAACAAGGAAACAGAGAATCAAAGTTTTATCGTGGCTGGTATTTGTTATGCTTAGACTGTTTTTGCAGGTTCTGATCTTCAAGCTCCAAATTATACGTGTCCTTTGCTGTGGCTGTTCCATTGCTTATGCGCCCCCCCTAAGGCATTTTTTTCCTCCTTTGGCTTTCTCAAGCTCCCTGCTCCACCCACCAAAAAGCATTTTCTCCTACAAGAAAATGTCAACTGCCCAGATTGGAAGCCTCCAGGAGCTGCACATCACCTTTCGAATAGGCCACAAGCCCCACCTTCACAGTATTGTACCTCCCCTGCCCATTTTTTTTTCAAAGCAATATAAATCTCTATCCAGTCACAGGTGTGTTTTTTTTTCTTTTCCTACAACGATGCAGGTTGCAAAGCTTCTGAGTAAAAATCATCCATATTATCAGGTTGTTCTTATTCAAACTGTTGATTAGCTCTATGTGGACATTTGCTCTAGCATTCTGAATAATTAGCTACAGCTGAAGCATTTTTGGTCTCTTGAAATCTTTGGGGATTTTAAGGCAAACTAAGCTCCAAAGGATGTACAGCTTACACCAGTACAATATACTGTATACACACCAGGTTGTTGTGGGGCAGGCCGGGTGAAGCATTTGCTCATTTATCTGTGAACTCTCACATACCTTTAATCTCTGTTCATGTACTGTATCTGAAAATGAAGATGTGTTGAAGCTGTTCGGAGCAGCCCTAGGTGCTTACTTTCTGATGAAGAATGTGTGTGTGTGTGTGTGTGTGTGTGTGTGTGTGTGTGTGTGTGTGTGTGTGTGTGTGTGTGTGTGTGTGTGTGTGTGTGTGAAAACCTTGATTGAACTGTTGTTTAGTTTTCACTATATGTTTATAAACGGAAACATTTTGCATCCTACACTGTACCCAGCAGCCTTCATACAAATATGTCATCATGTTTAAAAACCTTCATAGGTCCGCTGTATTACTTTCATTTTTGATCACTCTTATAAGCATGTACACATTTTAGGGCTTAAATGGATCCAGAAAAACCTTGATCAGATGACTGGGAAGCTCACTGATTCCTGAGGACCTAGAGACACTCCACCTAAAGCAACCCACTTTGAGGAAGGATGACAGAGTAAATCAGCCCAGCACATCTCCAGAATGTCTTGCCTGTAATTCCTACTGAAATCAAGAAGACTTGCTTTCTGTAAATATGTGTAGGAACGGAGTTGTTAGGGAGAGATTTTACAGCTCAATTATAGGCGTATTTACTTAGCACAGATGGAGCTGGATTGCATCGCCTGTAGCAGATGTGAGTACAGAGCAGGGGAAAGGCTCACACATACCCAGGGCCCCCGACCAGGCGCAGACGGCCGTGTCCGTTGCAACGTCATGATGACCCTCTTCAAGTGTTACCAAGAAGGGCTAATGTGAATTTAGCAGAAAAGGGAGAGTGCTTGGCCCACACCACCATCCCCCCCTGTGTGTGTGTAGGAGCAGCAGCCTGAAGAGGAGACAATGTGTTCACTACTAAGTAGGTCAGCCTCTCCATGCATCTGAAAAACCACCTGCACAGGAAACTCTCCTCTTCAGGCTGCTGCTTTCCGAAGCTGCAAAGCAACCGTGCAAGAAGTGGAGCTTGAGCCTTCTCTTTCCCTGCAAGTTCAGATAAATGTCTTCAATAGCTGAATAGTGCCTTTGTGGAATAATTTATTCTGGTTTTATTTTATTTTATTTTATTGCTGAATCCAAAGGCAAGTTAAACCAAAGGAGCCTCATTCATTGTTCTTCTCAGACTAGAATTACATTGATTTGAATATGGCTATTTTAAACACAGGTCAAAAATAGCAGAATATAAGATTCCAGTCCTCATGAGAGTTAGCAAAGAAATTTTCACATGGCCTCAGGTGGAGTCGAGGAGGGGTCTCCTCACTGCTACCTAACTACCCATGAAGGCCACCAGCCCATGTCCCAGGTACATGAAGAGACCACACACCTCGCCTTGGCCATTCCTTTGCTGGTTCCCCTTACAGGGTAGCCACATGTCTCTCTCTCTCTCTCTCTCTCTTTTAACAGAGTACAACCCTCCATTTGAAGGGCTGAGGCCTGATTTGAACAACAAGAACTAGAGGGAAGGAGACCAGGGACTCTGAAGTGATGCTTCCCCAGTACTAGCACAGCAGCTCAGCAGGTCCCCAGCTCCCCCCGGCACCCTCTCTTCTGATACAGTGAAATGCACTGTTTAATTAAATTACGCACCTCATTTCTAATCTTGCTTCTGTACGCATAAAAGGAAATCTAATGCAAATCCCTGCTTTCCCTCCTTTTTGGTAATGCAGCTCCTCCCTCTGGGCCACCCTAATGCCTTCCCTGGCTCTGACACTCCTTCGGGGATTCTGTATCCTGGGGCAGAAGAAGCCTCCCCAATGCAAACGCATAGCTCCGCCCAGCTAATCGATCACGGGACCTCTACCAGAGTGTACAGTGGAGCATCTACTGCACTGGCGTCAGGGGCCACTGCCTTGTTGGCGTATGCGAATAAATCAGGTTGCTCGCGCCACCATCAATCCCTGTGTTTTGTGTGAAGCTGCCCTCACTAAATCTTAATCTTCTAGCTGGAGTACAATTTTTTAAAAGCACATTTCTATGACAATTTGAGTGGATGGGGTGCTTACCATTTTTGCAGACTGGACAACATTGTTCTGGTTCATACACGGGGTTGACACATTCGGGGACGGCACAGTCTGCTACAATGCAGTGCACTTCATTGCTTGGCTCACAGCGACACCATTCACACGGAGAGGGCTAGGAACAAAACTCAAATTAGCCCATTTTAACCCTTCTGGCAACTCAAAATATTAACATTTCACTCTGAGGTTATTAATTTTGCTTCATTTCTTCATCATGCAAACATGAATACTGTAATATGTTATGTGCACATAAGGTGAGTTTCACTTTATCCTTTATCCACTCTCTATTTGGTATTCTATGCTTCCTTTCAGGTATCCAGCGAATATTCTCTGCCAGGGAAGAGCAAAGGCCATGTCATGTTCACCAAAACCACACACTTTCCCCTCCATCAGGAGCAAGAGCTGTGGCTGATCAGATAAAGGGGCCAGATTTCAACTCAGTGGTTTGGCATTTCTTATAAGCTTCCCAGGCCAAAAGAAGAATAGATATATGGTCTGCCCAGCCGTCAAGGTAAGAAAAAAGTGGATATTATGAGGGGAAAAGGCAAAAGAGCCAAAGCTTGCAGGATCAAGGCCCCAGAGCTATCTGAGTAGCAGGGACTATGTCAACATCTCCCAAAACCTGGCTTCCCTGTTCCCTCTAAATTTAGCTACAATTGGGCACGAAATGGATTCTCCCAGGAATGATATATTGTTACAATCTACTCCGTTTGCAATGCAAATGATTTGCAGGTGGTTTGGTTTTGAATGGGCAATTAAGATCCATTCACTTTACAAAATACATACTCCTCATTTGTTGTTATGGACCAATCCCATTGCCTGCATTTTGGACTTTCCTTGCATGGTTGTGCCCAGGTTGGTAAGTACGAAAACTGTCAAGTTGACAGTCTTCTCAAGTTACCTCTATAAAATTGCCAGAGACTAACAGTTCAGATTAAGCAGGGTGCAATTAGAAGTTACAACTCCCATTGTTTCGATACCCAAACATTTGTGTTTTTCAAACATTGTATCATATGAAGATTTGGTTTTGGAGAAAAAATTCAGCTTCAAATCTTTCTTCAGCTATGAAGCTCACCTTGAAGTCTACTTGCAGCCTAAGCAAATTCACTCAGCTGTTGTGGAATTGCTCAATATTGCACAGGTTTCGCTGGGGCAGGTCAACCCTACAATGACATCTTCCTCTCAGTTAACAGCAATGATCCCTCATGGATCAGCAATTTGCAAACATCAGTGCATTCAAGACATGAGACAAACGCTATCTAAAATCAGTTTTTTATAAATGCTACTACCTTAAATTCAGTTTAAGTGATACTGGAACACCAAATCAAGGAAAGATGTTCATGTGTTTTTGCATTACAAATTCAGGTAGCTTTGGCAGGGATAATGCTCTTTGCAGTTCACCTCAGAGACTTTCCATATGTCTTGAATCAAACAATCAGTTTCCAGGAAATTCACCTCGGCTCTGAAATTGGCTAATTAGAACTTCCAGTAATCTGTAATTTTTATCACTCTTCTGTCTCCTTGCAACTATGGCCTCTTGGGTAAGAATCAGTAGTCATGCTCAAGGAGGAGTGTGCAGCAGTGTGATCACTCTGTCTGACCCACATTGTGATTCCATGCTCCTCTTCGTTTTCTCTCCCTTCTGTATTCCCAAACATTGAGAAAAAAAATCAATAGAAGATGGTTTGTAGAGTCTAGGAGAAATTTTCCCCTGCCTCACATACAATTTAGTGGCTCACACCTCTTGGGCATTTTCAGTGGCTTTTCTGGTTGGGGTGAAAAATTTGTTGCTCAGCATGTCCTGTGGAATTTTCTTTTCACCAGAATATGACACTATTTTGGGAAATTTCAAGAAAAGTACCAGAAAGTTTCTTGTGCCTCTAAACACTAGCTTCAAATGCCAGACATGGAGGAGTATCAATAGAGGGAGAAAATGCCCCCAAATGCTTTCGCTCTGAGTAAACGAGACATGACAGATGTACTGTATCTTTTTTTGTTTCTCTGCGGTTAATGTTACCTGAAAATGACACTGGAGAGATGGCAGGTCACATGACACTGCAAGTAACTGTCAGGCTGGGAAGGAAACAAGTCATACTTTTCAAATCTTCAGAGAATATGTATTTTGAAACCACTTCTGGATCCTACACCACCCTTTATTTTCCACCACGTAAATTCAGTAGCTTTGTTTCGGTTTCCAGGCTGGTCTAGCACCAGATGCAATTGCCATCACTCCCTTTTCAAACTCTAACCTTTTTTAAAAAAACAACTAAGCCTCCGTTCCCTCCCAGCCCCTTCACTAAGAAGATAAAGCTTTTGTTTTAAAAAAACAACAACAACTAAGCCTCCGTTCCCTCCCAGCCCCTTCACTAAGAAGATAAAGCTTTTGTGCCAAGATCAAGATAAGCTGTGACAAGGCCTCTCCCTGAGACCCTGAGAGCAGAGGAAAAACTGCCTCTCAAAAAAGCTTTCACTAGCTATTAAGGCTTCAAGCCCATGGAAACTCAGCCTGGAGTCAATCCCACTGAACCCAAGGGAGTTACTTCTGAGTAGATGCGTGTAGCGTGTTTTGAGGTCCCCAGGACCTCTGCCTCCCCACCCCCAAAACTTTCTAAAATTAAACTTTGTTTATCTGCTGGAGGGCACAAGGAGCTTTTACATCCTAACCTGGTTTTTGTAAGATTTTTTGGGGGGGAAAGGTGGGGGTCTTAGGAGCAGGTGTGGCGCTCCAAGATCCAGGGATCTGAGTCTGTGGTTCCTTGACCTCTGAAGAGAGTCCACCCCAGGGTCTCACTGGATAGGAAAGAGGGAAAGACACCAACATTTTCAGGGCAATTTTGCTACTGCCATGAAGCTGAAACAAGCTAACCCAAGAATCCCTGACACGTAAAGGCATTTTTGTCTCTTCCCATCAAATTTCAGGACAGGAAGCGATGAAACTATCAGCATAATGAAGCAGTATGTCATCCAAATATGTGTGTTTGGCATTATGAACATGGAATGGTATATTCTAAGCTGTTGTTAGTTCCAGTTTCATCACAGTCTTGAAGTGGTGAACATATGCTCCAGATTTTTCTGTGGACAGGAACAGATACTTGAAACAGCGGCTATTGCATTGACTTTATCTGTCATTCCAAGTCACAGGTACACAACGGACTACTAGTGCTATCTTCAACAGCATCTAATCAGGCATGTGATGGAATGTACAATAACAAAGTGTCTCCTTGGCATCATAGATCTGTCCCAGGCAAGCCTCTGGCTATGTAGGATTTCAAACAAGTAGACTAAAGCTACAATTACTTCCACATTTACTTGGGACCACACTCCAGGACACTGAGTGACGTCGGAGTGCCCATGTGTAAGATTGGACTCTCCAGGTGAAATCCAATCACTAGTCCCAACTAGAATCAATTGCTGAAGAGGAAATCAGCACAGTTATTGGTAGCAGTTCTTTTGTGGAAGTTGTGTAAAATCTTTTGGTAAATTTCAAGGTCTTTACTGAATTGCATGCGAAAAGAATTCCTTCTTTTTCCTTATGTTATCTGAGACAGACAAAATTAGCACCCTTTCCTCATTCATCATTTAAAAGAAAACAATTATGATTTTAACAAACCTCTGTCATGTTTGCCCTTTGTTTTCTGTGAGCCAGAAACGTCCCATATTTTGGGCAGTGCCTATGGCAAAACCGTTCCATATTTCTTTTTATTGTTTTGGACAAAATGTCTAGTTTAACTATCCATGCTTCTAGTAGTGCCTCTAGTAGCAGCCTCATGATCCTTTCTGTGGCGTATCTTAGCTGTGCCAATTGTACAAGTGCAATTGCTTCTTAATTACTCTTCACTGACTGGCCTTTGGACACCTGCAACATATGACAGTATTGCTTTCCACATCCTTCTTTGTTAATATGTATTGCTGCTCACTATGCCAGACCATCATTAAAAAAAAATATGGGGGCCTGCCCAGACTGAAACATAGATCAGTATATGTATTGCTGTTGGTATGGTTTGGTTTGAACCAATTAGTGGTATCCACATTTGTTTCTACTTAGATTGAGCCATCCTGCCATGGTTTGAACCAAATAGTGGTATCCACTAGTTGTTTCTACTTAGATTGAGCCATCCTGCCCCTTTAAGAGCTGTTGCACACCTTTCTGACATGGTGCTACAGCATGTATTCTTTTTGCTTAGATTCAGCATGATCCTAATTAGCTCATTGTGTAGCCTGTGCAGATAGTTAGCCTGCACCCAGATGGCACTGTGGGAAAGGTTAACTGAGGAGCCAACCCTGTGACATAATAGGTGGGTTCTGATATCAAAAAGGAAGATGGACAAATTCCCTTTTCTATTTTCATATTCTTTTTAAAGCATATTTCCCTAACACACAACACAATTCTAATACCACGCTAGGTTCATGCATTGCTCTTTTTATATGCCACTTATTTTATTTAGCAACAACAACAAAAAGGAAATCTACTGCTGAGCGATGGCTGTAAGAAAAGGTGGGGAAAGGAGCTATGTTGACTCCATGGGCTTCGCCCACAAAGGCTGTATACTTCCAGCAGAGCTCCAGCTGATCAGAAAGGCAGGAAAAATAGGGTGTTTTTACCTCAGTTCCATCTCCCAACCTTCATCCCAACATATTTCTCTCATGCCAGTACGGCTGCTGCAAGCGTGCCCTGCCACTGCTGTCTTCTTACTCACAAGTAGATGAGGTAAGCTTACTTATGAATAAACCAGCAAAACCTTACTCACGAGTAAACCAGGCTAAAGTTACACACAAGTAAACGGGCAATCAAAGGAGTTGTGTGGGCTCTTCTCACGGCAGAATAAATGCCTCCAATGTGAATGGAAGGATCGCTCAAAACAGATCATGCTGAAGCGAAGGACCTTTCAAGCAGGAACCAGGCTGCTCCGAATTCCCTCGTCTGGACAGGCCCTGCAGGCTTCAGAGATCACTGAAGAAACAAAGTGAGTCACCCTGAATGTGCCTCCTTTTGCACGCCTGCTTAGTCATGGAACCTGCCGACTTCAATAGGGCTAGCAGTATGGTTCCTACAACAGCTTATCCGTGAGCAAGCCCCATTGATTTCAGCAGTGCTTCTGAACAGAGAGGCATAGC